CCGCCGCTGGCTCGGCGGGCGCAGCCGGTGCAATGGGCGCAGTGGGCGCGGTGAACGGAGCGGGCGCGGCGGGGGCAGGAGGTGGGACGGGGACAGCAGGCTGGGGCGCAGCGTTGATCGCGGGCGCTGGGGCACCACCAGCAGACGGTGCTCCGCCACCGCCGCCAGATGGTGCCGCGCCAGCACCGCCACCAGCAGCACCGCCGCCGGCAGCACCGCCAGCACCGCCGCCAGCACCGCCCCCAGTGCCGCCATGTGCCAGTGCTGCTGCCAGCACGGCTTTCTTGAACAGGAGGTGGTGCCAGAACGTGTTGAGGCGGCGGTTGTGTGCAGGGCTCCCGACCTTGGGAATAAGTTGGGGTAAGTTCCGCTGTTGGGAAACGGCCTGTTTGTAAAGCTAACGCACAACAGCGCTTGGTTGGCAGTTGTTTGGCTAGCAATGGCGCCGCAGCCAGTGTTGTTTATTCAGTTGCGCATCTGGCATGTCGCGGGGTGGGTGGCAGTTGCACGCGCATCGTTGTGCATGTGGGACGCGGCTTGGTGCGATTTGCAGCGCACCTTGAGAGAGTCGGCAATGTGGGTCTCCAAGAGCTTGCGTGGTGCTGCCTGCTGTTGCAGCAAGATTTGAATGGGTTGAGCGGAGGCACACGCCAGCTGTTGCAGCGAGCCGACAGTTGCATTGCGCCTTGTCAGAAGACAGGGCCCAACAGCAGAGGCCCAGGCAACAAGCACAGCAATGCAGGGTTGTTGATGTTTGCTGCACGCGCCCTCACCGCAGCTGTGGCAGCGCAGAGGAGTGTGGCCAGGATGACCACGCTCAGATACCTCTTGAGAGCCATTTTGCCGTGTCAGCGGGTGGGTCTGCGGAGTGTGATTTGATGCAGTGGGCCTCTCTGAAACATGTCACCTTGTCGTTACTGTGGCGACATGTACCCCGAAAGCCTCCTTGCACGTACGTGTGCCGGAATTCTTGGAGGCATGTACGTACGTAGGCTGCAGATAGCCGCATTCGTTGCGGGACCGGAAATGAAAAACAACGTCACAGCGATGTATATGAGTATAATTCGTTTCGACACCGACAGTTTCCCCACACGGCAACAGTTCGCCAACTGTTGGGAGGTTAGGTCATCAACAGCAACATGCTTGCTGCTGATGATTTGAGTGCCTGAGATGACTGAGCGGGGAGGTCGGGCGCATGCAGAGCAGTACCTGGAGGTCGGGTGTATGCAGAGCAGTACCTGGAGGTCGGGCGCATGCAGAGCAGTACCTGAGCACCAGCAATCTTGCGGCGGTTGCACTGGCACCAGGGACACAAACAGTTGCCATACCTGGTCCTGGCCGCGCCAAGGGTTTGCTCAGCTGCCCCTGCGTACTGTTCATGTTTCAGCCGGCGCACGCAAGTCGGGCACGGCGGATAACACGCCACATGTTAGGCACGCCACATGTTAGGCACGGCGGGGAACGCAAGTCAGGCACGGCGGGCAACAGCAGCGATGTGTTTTACACGTGAGTACGTGCAGCCAAAACAATGTACCATCAAGGGCGTAAACAGCCTCAGGTTACAAGGCCACCCCGCACCCACTTGTACACAACCTGCACCAGGCGCTGCAATCTCCAGTCCCTCTGCAAGTAACATCATGACTTGAAGACAGAAGCCTAAAGCAATACAGCCAGCACCGCAGAGCGCTAGTTGCTGGGCACGTCAAACGGGCACGTGTTCCTTGGCCACCACAAGAATGTGGCAGATGTGAAAGAAAGTGTGTGTATTGTGTGGTGGTGCGCACTGCACTGATGCTGCCAGTGCTGCTGCGGGCCGGCGCGTTTATGTAGTGGACAAAATGTGCTCCGGGTCTGACTCAAGGCAACGGCGGGGTATGTTGATTGCAGCAGACAGGCGGATGACGTTGACCCCTGCTGCAAAGCCTACCTAGCAGATAGGTGTATAAAGCGGCTCAATTATTTGCGGTCAAGAACAAGCACTGCCTTTGGCGGGCAGGGGCAAGCCAATAGTTGATCATATATATACGCAAGGGCTGAAGCAGGTAAGACAGGGACCGTCGTCAAAGGATCCCCCAAGCAGATTAGAGCATCGGTTTGGGTTGTGAATAATGTCACGTGACGGCGCGTGCCGCAATAAACTGCACACAATCTGTCCACAACTGTGCACAGGCCTGAGGGGAGTGAGCGTGGATGGCCAGCCTGGGGTGTCGGTTTTGACATGTGGCCCAGGAGCACGCCCTACGCAAAGACACACAGGGTCATTCAAGGATATCAAGGCAGAGGGAGTCGCAAACACTGCAGGTTGCACGAAATCTGTCCGTCCTGAGCCAGTATGCTAGCTATCACATGCACAGCACGTGCACGTGCATGTGCATTTGCGCATGCGAGGTGCTCATGCCGGCGCACAGCAGTCAACTGTACTGCAGGTGCGAGAGGTCCAAGGTTTTGAAGGGGAGGCACTTGAGCATGACCGTCACCGTGCGATGGAGCCTGGGAGTGACCAGATCCCCCATGTTGTTCAACCAGCAATCAGCTTCCCCCGAGGGAGGCGCTCCGTGGTGGGTAGCCTAAATTCGCGCCCTGGGCCTGCTCTGCTATCCCCCAGATCAGGTCACCTGCAGGCGCCCAGCCAAGAGCAAAGACAGCGCCAGCCAGGGGCAGAGCCGCAGAGCGCGCCACGCGGGGAGTGAAGTACGTGGTTTTTAGCGCAGTGTGTAAGAAAGTCGAGGGTCGGGTTGGGTGGGCGGCAGAGCGGACCCGCTGGGGCCCGCCTGTGGCAGAAGGTGCATTTCAGGGTCATGGGCCCGTCATCGGCTTATGGGTAGAGATGAGGTGGGGTTGGCACAGGCGGTGGCCCCGAGGTCAGAGGCGCGGGCCGCGGCGTGTATGCTGCTATTTATCAGTAGTCGTGGATGGTAGGCCCCAGGGCGTCACGGGCCGCACGCCATGCCTGGCCAGCGTCAGCATGGCTGAATCATGTGGCGCAGGTGCACGACAGGGGCGCAGTCACAGCCCTGGCGGCGTCACGCCAGTCATGCCGTGGTGTGCAAACCCGCCCGCGTGGCCGAGCCCCTGCGACGCCGAAAACGCCGCCTGCTGCTGCACCACGGAGGCCGCCATCAGGTGTTGCTGGTGCGGCTGCAGCAGCTGCGCCTGCATGTGGTGCTGCTCCAGCGGCAGGGCCCAGGTGAGGGGCGACATAGGCAGGCCCGCGCCGGCAGCGCCCAGCTGGGACGTCCCGAGCATCAGGCCCTGCGCGCCGGCGCCGCCGCCCTGCAGCGCGCCCATCCCCACCACCACACCCCCACCAGCGCCCAAGTGTGCCAGGTGGTGCTGCTGCCCCATGCCGCCCGCGCCGCTTGCGGCTGCCGCGGCGGCAGCGGCCGCCGCCGCGCTCATCGCGGCGGCTGCCGCGGCGGCCGCGTGCGCCTGCGCTTGCGGCGGCGCGCCACCCTGGTCGCGCGGGCAGTCGTCGCGGCGGCCAAACGGGTTCTTGGAGAACTGCAGGCGCACGCCGCCGCGGTCCGAGGACTGCAGCACGGCGCCCTGCAGCGTCTGGTGGACGAGCATGGCGCTGGCCACATTGGCAAACTCGACAAAGGCGGTGGTGTTGCGCGAGCCCTTCACCACTTTCATCTGCCTGCAGGTTTGGGTGCGAGGTGGTGGTGAATAGACAACAGCAGGGGTTAGACGTTGGGCCAGGGCGGGCGATTGGTGGTGAGATGCAGGGTCAAAGGCGCGGCAAGGCGCGGTCACGGGTGTACTAGTGGTGTCAGCCAGCGCCGCGCCAGCCAACAGATGGCAGAGTCCAGCAGCGGCCAGCGCCGCGCCAGCCAACAGATGGCAGAGTCCAGCAGCACACCTGGCCATGTGCGAGGCAGGGCCTGCCGCGGTGCTGCAATGAGGGCCCACGAGCAGCGAGCCCCGGGGCGCCGGTGAGCGCTCTCACCTATAGCCTGGCTGTGTGCTCATGAGGGCCCTCAGCTCAGCCTCGCTGACGCCATCGCTCAGGTTGCCGCTGAGGTACAGAGGCATGTGAGGCAAAGGTGGGTAAGTGCATGCGTGGGTGCGTGTGCGACTGCGTTTGTGCATGCTGAAGTGTGCACGTGCGCACACACCCAGGCGGCGCCACGCCCGCATGTGTGTGTGTGTGTGTGTTTGTGTGTGTGCGTATGTGTATGTGTGTTTTTGTGTGCACGCGCGACACCGCGCCCGCTGTTGTGCAGCCATGCAACAGGTATGAGATGAGGGTCTCAGGGGTCCACAGCGCTGTGCAAGTGGGCACTTTGCCCATGCCTGTAGGTATTGCGTCGTTCGAGCACCGCGCTCACATGAACAGTGTGTTGCAGGGCGGGTTGTCGCGGAGGTTGGTGACGGGGCTGAAGCTCTGTGGCCGCAGGGGCACCTTGAACTGCCGCGGCACCGCGCTCGCCGGGCTGCCGCCCACGTGCGGCGACCCGGGCAGGAGCCCGGCGGTGTTGTGGGCGGTGGCGGTGGCGGCGGCAGCGGCGGCGACAGCGGCAGAGTTGGGGGTGGAGGGGGCCGGCAGACCCGCAGCTGCGGCGAGCTCCGCAGGGGTCAGCAGGGGGCTGGGCTGGGAGGCGCGGATGATGGTGGGGTCGTCCGCCTGCCGAAGCATTTGGGTGGCCGAGGTGAAAAACCAGCAGTGTTAAGGTCGAGGTTGGGGTTGGGACGGTTGAGCAGGGAACCACGCGAGAGAGGCGAGGGGTCGCCGTGGGCGCCTGCACGAGCCCCGAAGTGCCATGCCCTTGGGGTCCCCCCTGTAGTGCGCAGTGCATCCCCCTTTTGGCATGAGCAAAGCAATGAAAAGCAAATCCCTCACCTTGATGGACATGTTCTTGGCGGCCAGCTCTGCCCTGAGGGCGCCGCCGTCATCAAAGTGGGCGCCACCCACGAGCTCCACGGCAAAGTGCGCGGCGGCAGCAGAGGTGAACAGCGCGAAGCCCTGGGCACATGGAGGAGGAGCGAGGTGGGGTCTCAGGGTGTGTGTGTGTGCAGGCGCTAAGGGAGTGTTCATGCGCTGGTGTCGAGTGCGCCAGCGGGCGGGCCGGGGCCAGCCTGGGTGGGAGGGTGTCGATGCTTTCCCCCTGCGCATTGGGGGCACCTCTCGGCTGGCCCCCCTGGCAAGCCGGCAACAGCACGTGCCGCCCCTGCGCCTCAAGCCTTAGCCCGCATCGCCCCGGCGGCGGTGGCGCCTGGCCGTGCACGTCCCCACCTGCGGCTCCGCGCCCTTCCAGGTCAGCTGGCAGGCCTCGTAGCCTGGCAGGTAACGCATCAGGTTGTGCAGCTCGCGGCCCCTCACATCAGGGGGAAAGCCTGTCACGAATACGGTTCGGAGGTCATCCTGCTTGGGTGGTGCCGCAGTGAGGGGAGAGTGAGGGGGAGGGGGTGAATGGAGCGGAGGGGCCAGGGCAGGTCAGGGTTGGGGCAGGCGGAGGGAGAAGAATTGCGGCGGGTGGGAGGATGGAGGAGCAAACGGGGGAGGGGTGTGCGATGGTGTTGGCAGATATCAAGAGGCAAGAAGAGGCCGACACGCCTGCGTGCGCATAGCCATAGGTTTGACGAGTGTGGGCGCACCTGCTGCAGGCCGGCAGAGCCAGTGGGGCTGCTCGTCTGCTGCGCGCCGCCCGCCGTGGCCGCCTTCGCCGCGGCCGGCGAGGACGCGCTCCCCAGCAGAAGCCCCTGCCCGTGCGCCGGCTCGGCGCCCGGCAGCGGCGGCGGCGCGAACACGGAGTACCCATACGCGTCGCACGAGGCGGCGGCAGAGGCGGCGGCCGCTGCGCCCCAGCCGTCGAGGGAGAGGCCCGCCATGCCCTGCTGCACAGCGTAGAGGCTCATGTAGTTGGGGTAGCCTGGGGACGAGGAGTGCCCGGCCTCGCCGCCGCCGCCGACCGCCGGGTTTCCGGCGAGCGAGAGGGGTGACTGGGCGAGGGCCATGCCGCCCGACGAGGGGGTGGGGACGGCGCCAAACATGCGGCCTGCGACTTGGGTTCACAGACGGCCGACCAGGCTGATGTATGCAAAGGGGAATTGCCGACTTGGACCCACGCTCCTTGGTGGGTCGCTCCTCACTGCACTCGTCAGGCAGTGGGTGCGGGTACCGCCATGCGCCGCAGCAGGGGAGGGGCGCTCCTTCTAGGACCCAGGGCCGGCTGCCGAGCTCCTTGTAATACAACGACCGGTAGTTGTTTAGATGCCTGATCGGGGCGGCTCCAGCGACAGCACAGACGAGAGTAAGATGATGCGCGCAGCTGGCCAAACAACTACTTGAAGACGGGCGCAATGTGACTATTAAAGCACAGAGGAAGGTCTGGGAGGACTCCTGTGGTAGATGCGATGCGTATCACCGGACAAAGTGGTCGCCTGGGTAGGTTGGTGTGGCCCAGCAGCAAACCGAGTGGTTGGTTGAGGCCCAGGCAGGTCGCGTATGGCTTGTAGGCATGATGCTCAACGAACAAACGAAGTACGGATAATGAAGAAGCTGCAGGGCTGCAGCCGTCCGCGGCTCGCAGTAGGACGGCCACCTCCGTCCAGCGGATGCAGGGTGACAGCACTCAGAAAACAGCTGGTTTCTATGATTTTGACGGTTTACAGTCTTGCTGGGGTTACCTGAGGTGGTTTGATCTCGGCGGGAAGACAAGATCTCACCGTTGAGGCGGATGTCCTTCGCGGCTGCGTGCCCTGGGGCTACTACTTGATGAATATAAGCATTTTGCCCATCGCGCAGTTGTTGTACTGTGGTATCGCACTGGCGCCAGCAGCGCACGTCACTCGTGTCCAGCTAGCGGTTTTGTTGACTGGGCCACTTGCACTACTTGAATCTACAGGCAAGATCACTCCATTGGTAGCTGTTGCTTCTTACACATGCTGCTCTACAATCTAAGGGCGGGGGTGGAGGCATGTTGATCAGCTAAGCCTGTGTGAGTTGGAAGGGGCGGCTGCCATGGCATGCAAGCAATGGACATCCGTGTTGCAGGGACGACGGGGCAAAGTCATGCAGGGAGGTGAGCCATGTTGTAAATCTAAATCTGAAAACCCTAGGGAAGGCACGAATGTACACAAACGCCTGCCACAGTGGGCACATGGCTGGTCAGCGCCACCCGCTTGCTTGCTACACACCACGTGCCAATTCCGCGAATAGACAAGCCGTGGCACACCACTCCAAAGATTTGCATTCTCAGCAGTCAAGCGAACGGTCACAGGCAGCAGGCGTCCAGCCCGCGCCGTCGCGGCGGCGCTGACCAGCACCCTCCGTCCCGCTCAGCCCGGCGCCCTCGCCGCACCGCCGCCGCTGCCGCCGCCCGCCATCACCCTCAGCAGCTCCGCCACCTCCCCCACGCAGCCCGACAGCACCGTCCGCTGCGACGCCGCCGACGCGTGCAGCTGGTCGGCGCGCGCGGCGGCCGCGACGTCGTGGGCCAGGTCCTCCGGGTCTGGCGTCACCACGATCGCATACCGCAGGTCCCTGGACAGGTGCCACGCCTTTACCGCGTCCCGCACGAGCTCGGGCAGCTCAGGGCCCGGCTTCTGCCGGCTGCACTCCTGCTCCGTCAGCGCCCGGAACGGCGGCGCCAGCGCCAGGTCGCGAAGGTGCGGCGGCGCCGCGCCGAGCGCGCCCGCGCGCGCCGCGACGGCCCAGAGGCTCGGCGGCGCGGGGGCGCTGGCGGGCGGGGCGGGCGGGGGCGCCACGGCGCGGCGG